AGATGTCCATGTAATTTTTATCCTTGAATCTTTTTAGGTGGTACATTACATTTATTGCCTTATGTACATTGAACCATCCTTGCATTGTTGGGGTTAAGCCAGTTTGCTTATGATGTATGATCTTATCAATGATGTTTTGCTCTGTTTGTAAATATTTTATTGAGGATTTTTACCTCTACATTCATCAATGATATTGACCTATAGTTTCCTTTCTTCTCTTTTGTTGAGTCTTTACGTGGTTTTGATATAAGGATAAACCCACATTACAGTAATGTGTTTGGCATCATTCTTTTTCCTTTCAGTTTCAAGGAAGAGTTTAAAGAGTATTGCAATTATTCTTTTCAGAAGTTCTAGTACAATTCATTGGTAAATCCCTCAGGTCCTGAAATTTTCTAATCTAAATTTTCAGATCTAAGATGTCCCCCAAAATCTCATATTTTAGGAAAGTTGTTGGATAGTGGGAGCATTATACTCATCACGTAGATTCAGAGCTTCAGATGAGAATAATGGCAATACTCTTAAACTCTTCCTTGAAACTGAAAGGAAAAAGAATGATGCCAAACTATAGAAATATCAATGAAGGCCAAATAACTTCTTACCTGGTCAGCCTCAGATATTATGAGGAAATCACAAAAAATGTCTTTGAGACCCATAATTCACGTTAATGACTTACTAAATACTGCTTTATACTGTGTTTTTATAACTGGGATAGAGAGGAGGAACAAAGATGTAAAGCTAAGACTAAATGAGACTGAGAGGCCAAAAACACACAGAGCTTCTTACTGTATTATGGGACAACCAAATATTACCTTTGGGCTCTTTCCCCAAGGAATGTAAGTTAACTAGTATGTGTCATGTCTGCTAACAACTGGGTCACTAAAAGAGAGATTACTGTAATGCTAAGCAATTTCCTAAGCCCTGAGTGTGGCAAAACAGGACACTGGAGGCCTTACTGTCCTATAAATCAAGGGAACCTTGTCCAGCTCCTTAATTGTTGTCCCTGGAATGAAGATGCTCAAGGTTCCAGTTGGCCCTAGCCAAATTACCACCATCAATGGGATAATGAGATGTTTTAGGTAGAACAGTAAGTTTCCACCTCAACAGTGGGGCCTCTTTTTCTGTTCTTACCTCTTATTCCAGGCAAATGTTTATGGCTTCTGTTGGATTAATGGCACCAATGGAACTCAAGTAACCAAACATTTTGTCCTTCTGTGTTATTTATCGAATAGTTTTCTTCTTACTTATGCTTTTATGATAATGCTCAAATATCCAACACTTTTACGTGGCTATGCCTTATTTAAAAAGAGGAAGGATCAAATTATTTTTGGCTTACCTACTAGCTTCACAATTATGGCAATGGTTACCTTTCCCACAAAGTTGATATTACTGACCTTATTGATCTTTCTGTTAAATCCAAAGTATGAGCCACTGACATACCTGGAGGAGATACTACTTTCACCTTGATAATAACTAAGCTAAAATATTCTCATATATCACTGCACTTTAAAAATATGATTTTTTTTAGGCCTGAAACTGAAGCAAAGCTACAGACTCAAATTCCTTTGCTATGGGCTTTCAGTGCCTTGTTAGGCATCTTGTAATACCTTAATTTTAGATGTCAAGAAGCACAGTATGGATTACCATTTAATGGAAGATCTCCATACTATAAATGAGGCCATTATCCCTATACATCCAGTAGTCCCTAATCCTATACTCTCCTGAGTCAGATTGCATCAAGTGCCCCGTTGTTTACAGTCCTAGTCATTAAAGATGCAGTAAGACTCTAACTTACAAATGAGTTTCATTCTGGGAGAATATTCATAAGTCAGATTTGTCACAAGTCTGACAAAGTCAGTCTCATACACTATTATAGTTTGTGTCTAGATGTACCCTCAAAACTTCTTGCAGTCATAAGGTGGACTTCTAGAGTTTTTGATTAATTTATGGTCCAATGGTGGGATTATGGGGGCTAGGGAGGGAAAGAGGCTTGCTCTCTTGCTATGCTCCTCCCCTTTTGTTCTTGCCGCTTTTGCTGTTTTCTGCCACCATGAACTGTTGCTCCTGCCATGTGCCACCCTACCTTGGAGCCAGCTGACTATGGACTGAAACCTTCACAAACTGTGAGCTAAATAAACCTTTCCTTTCTTAATTTTGGGCAGCAGGTATTTTGTACCAAAAGAAAAGTACCCAAGGTAGAATTTGGTACCTGAGAAGTAGGGTCGTTGCTGTGACTGTACATGACCATGTACTTGACCAAGAGCCTTTGGGAATGGCTTGTGGGAAGAATTTGGAAAGGTTCAATGATGTTACCTGAAAGAGTTGAGCTGGAACACCTTAGGCTGTTCTGTATAGGAGATTCTGGTCAGAGCTCAAATGACTGCTGGTAATGACTAAGTTCAGGAGGTTTTTGCTGGGAAGAACTCTATGGGCTGTTGGACTACAGATAATGTGTGTTATAGCTTGGCAGAAAGTTTGTCTGCATTTTGCTCATGTCCAGAGACATTACCTGAGACTGAGATAAAGGCAGCAGACTAATCTGGCAAAAGAAATTTCAGGGAAGTCTAATGTTGGGGCAATGGCATAGCTATTGTTGGAGGCTTTTAGCCAGATTTATATTGTGAATCAAGAGCAAAGAGCCCAGAAGGATGATTTAAAATGTGAGTTTGGCCAGAAAAGGAGCTCCAGTAAAGCTATGGACTACCAATATAGAGCTGAAGAGATCTAGATTGCTGAGAAGGGACAGGAGAATATAAAAGATGGCCTGAGGGCATCACAAGCAGCAGTAAGTCTCCACCTTTTGCAGCCTCAAAACTGCAAAAGTGAAAGACTTTGCTTTGAGGAGGAAGCCACAGAGCATCATATTTCAGAATGGTGGCAGCCACACTGTATTCCAGGATGGCAGTGGCATCTGCACTATGTTCCAGAATGGTGGCATAGAGAATTCGTTCCTCAGAACCAGGTTCAGCATGCTCAGCAATCCAGATGCTCAACTCCTACAGCCAAGAGAGAAGAAAGTATGGCTATTGCTCCAGCTGGCAGTAGACCTTGGCATCATACACATGGCACTGGTTTTAGGCACTTGGAGAATGCAAGAGTTCTGAGGTTACAAAAGCTTCCACTTTGATTTCAAAAGAAAGCCTGGGAGGCCAGGCAGTGTGCTTCTCAGAGGGCAGTGTGTAAAGCTATGAGGATGAAGCCAAAGCTACAGTGAAGACACAAGAAGTTTGGAGAAGCCAGGCACATGGATTGTTTGAGAGAAACTGCAAGGAGGGAGCAAAGTGGGCCCAAAAGAGAAGTCATAGGAGCTACAACCATCAGAAATGCCATAGGGGCAGAGCCAGGCAAACCCTTTGGAGCTCACAACATGCCATAGGTTGCTTTGGTTGTTCCACATGGAACTACAGGACTTAATGTTTGCCCTGCTGGATTTTGGACTTGCTTTGGTCCCAATGCTTTGTATCCCCCTATTTGTACCTTTTGGAAAGTAATGTTTATCTTGTGCAATGGAATGTTGAAAGTGTCTAACTTTTTATTTATACAGGGGCTCACAGCTAAGAGTTTGTCTTAGATCTCCGAGGAGACTTGGGACTTGGACTTTTCAGCAATGCTGAAACTTAGGACTTTGGCAACTCTTAGAGATGGATGGATCTTGACATCATGATACTAAGTGAAATAAACCAGGAACAGAAGATTAAATATCTTATGCTTTCTCTTATATGGGTGACTTAAATACTCCACTTACACTAACAAATAGGTTATACAGACCAAAAATTATCAACAATGAAACATCAAAGTTAAACTACACTATAGTTCAAATGGACTTAGTGGACATTTACAGAACATTCCATCCAACAGCCAAAGAATATATATATTTTTTATTAGTACATGTCTCAGCACGTTATGATTACATTTGTTGTGGGGAGTTGGTAGGTGTACACAATACATTTTAAGTTTTCTTTTTTCTTTTTTTCTCATCCCCTATCTCCTCTCCCCAACCCACCACTCCCTCCAACTGTTTGTCCCCTTCTCATTTGCAAAACCCTAATTTCACCATCATTAGTCCCATCAATTGTTTTTTCTATCCCCTTTTTCTCCCCTGACTCTCCATCTCTTGTTTCCCCATTCATTTGAAAAAGATCTTCCTACTTCCTATCTATCTATCTATCTATCTATCTATCTATCTATCTATCTATCATCTATCTATCTCTTCTCTCTCTTTCTCTCTCTTTCTCTCTCTCCTTCCCTCCCTCCTTCCCTCCCTCTCTTTTTCTCTCTCTCAGGTGAACCAGCACTCAGGGAGTCATCAAAGATGAACAGGTCTGACAAAGCTCCTTCTCTGGAGGGACCAATCAAGGTGGCAGGGGCTGTGAAGGGGCTGTCCTTTATGAGAGAAGCTGCCTGAGGTCTGAAATCCTCTCCCAGAGGCTGACCCATTTACCTACCTGGGATCCTCCCAGCCCTTGAACAACAGTGGTACACTCCCTGAACCTCCCAAGGAGCCTCCTGAGAAGCCTGGAGACCCTATGAATGAAAGTCACCAGCAGGTGATTTATGAGTGATAAGCTGGGTTCTCTTCCTATATCCCAGTGAGTCTGTAAAGAATGGGGTCCCTGAGGCCTTCATGCTAGACCAGACCTGAAAGATTTCCTACTCAGCTCAAGATGGGCTCTAGCTGGAGCTATTCTGAAAATTCTAGTGTGATAAATGTTAACCCTTGAGTAGAATGGAGGCCTGGTCTTTTTTCCTGACTGGTGTGTCTCCCTCTGAACTTCCAGAGAAGGATACTTTTCCTAATACAGCCACATTGGGAGACTCAGAAGCTAGGTGGATGTGGGTCATCAGGGTTTACAAGGTGAAATCACCTGAAATGGGTAGGCTGGGTCATGCTGCCATGAGGTTCAAACACCACAGGGCAGGTATCAACTCCTTGACTTACTTCAGAGGGGACTGAAGACCCAACCTGGGTCTCTCTTCTTCCAAGAAAAGATAAGCACTACATGTGACTTTGGAAACTTTATTACAGGGAAGAGGGAGACAGAGAGATTTGCAAGTGAAATAATCAGATAGCCAGAGACCATGGAAAGAGACTTAGATGGAGATGTTGGGCGATAGTCAGGGTAGGATGATGCATAGGCTGAATAACGGCTTCCCAAGATGTAGAGCTCCTAATCACAGGACAACTATGAATATGTCCTGTATTATCACAGTGGGTACAATGTGGTCACAAAGATCCTTAACAATAGATAAGTGGTGTGAAAACAGAGTGACATTTGAAGATGCTTCAGGATTTGAATATTGAGAAAAAACCTGAAAGCTCAGGAATGCAGCTCTATAAAATGGAAATGGAAAAAGAGAAAGCACATGAACAGGCATGGAGGTAGCATGGCCCTGCAGTTACTTTGGTGGTGTCTCAGTGAAACCCGTGTTATAATTCTGATCATGAGAACTAAAAGGAGAATTTTGCTACTTAAACTCATCAAGGTTTTTTTGTAATTTATCATAGCAGCACTGGGAAGCTAATACAAGGACAGTTAACTAGCAGAAAGGAAAAAGACATGTAGAGAAGCAGGCTGTTAAAGAGAAGGCAAATAATCAGGCAGTAGGTAGACAGAGAGGCAGGCAGATTGGAGATGGATAGACAGAGATTTAAGAGCAGACATCCAGGAAGACAGAAAGCACAGAGCAGGCAGGTGGGGAGGTGGGGAGACAGAAAGAAGGATGTGGAAGAATGGACTGGAACAGGTACAAGGAAATGGGATGTCAGGCAGGAGCTGACATCTATTTCAGAGCTGTCCGTGTCCCCATCAGGATTATTTCAGCTTCCTGAGGTGCAGGTAGATCCCGTTCTTGGACTTCAACACAAGACGTGCCACAGGAACTGGGATCCTGGTGGGGTCTGGCAGCAGCTCAAAGCGGAGCAGGGTTAGGGCCACAGCTACCTTCAGCTCATTCATGGCAAATTGTTTACCAATGCAGTTCCTACATCAGGAAGGGAGAGTGAAATGAGAAGTGATCCCAGGCTCTGTTCAAAGATGGCCAGGCTTTGGCCCCTGAGCCACAGTCCAGGGCTGGGCATTCGGGGTGCATCTCCATGGGCCCAGACCAACTCCTTTCCTCATAGTCATTCAAACTTCTATTCCAGGTCTTCATTCATGCTCTCTTGATGTTTGTCAATGCCTCCCACTCTTCCAAGGTTCTTCTTGGCCCTTCTCTGCTCTCAGAGGCACGAAATCTCTAATAGGACACAGCCAGTGCTCTAAGAGACAGAGTCCTATGCCATAGTTAGTTCACTTCCTCACTAAGGGTCTTTGGTTTCCTAATATGGAGATCACTGATCAAGGTCACACAGGAAAGAGTGGGCCACCCTCCATGGATCACTGCTACGTGGACAAAGCATCTGCATTTGTAAGAGCAGTCAGGTGTCAATGGAAAGCTCTCGGGATGAAGATCCTCACACTGCAGTCCATCTGCCTCTCACTCAATAGCATTTTGCCCTGGAGTGGGCATCTTGCTTCCCATTTATCTACGCTATACACCAGTACCAGTAGCCTTTTAATTTTACTTCAGAAGTGTCCCTGCCTGCTACCTTGAATTTCCTCTTCTAAAATTCTCTTGTGTGCATCTCCCCCTCCACACACACGCAGTGGTCTTCCTATGCCCTCCACCAGGCAGGACTGTGTCCAAATGCCTTAGCTGTGCCACCCTCTATGCACTTTCAACTCACCACTTTATGCCTGTCCAGCCCTACATCCTCGGTCATGTTGAAGTCACTGAGCATATTCTCCTCCACCTCTGCATATACAACTCAAGGCTCAGACCTATGACCAGCTGGCCCTCACCCCTCTGCCACTGTCCCTCTCCCCACTGGGCCGCCATGGCACCATCAGTGCTATGTTCAGCAGCACACTACAATCCAGGAACTAGAACAGTGTCAGGAACATGTAACATTCCACATGAGTGAAAGAATGATGGAAGGAATGGGCCGTATTGAATATAGGTGTCCAATTCTGTAGAACACCTTCTGTTCTTGTTCTTGTTACTGTGGACCAGGATTCTACCAGGGGAAGAATCGTGCAGCTCTGTGTTCCTATTTCTTAGCATAGAACTTGGCACAGATGAATGTGCTTTCAAATGCCTTTGTATTTTCATGAAGTTAGTTGAATTTTAAAAAAATAAAATGCAAAGGAACACACAGAGGGTAAATTTTTCTAGCTAGTGACTGAGCTACTTCATACTCTCCTGTCCTGTCCTCCAATGACAGTGTCATGATTTGTACCTAATGGATAAGAACGTGTACTCAAATTTGAGGAAACTTATCCCGGCAAACTGGATTCTGGAAAAACAACATACTTAAAGCCTGTTCTGTAAAATTTTACACAGCATGGTGGAATTCACAGAATCAACTCAGAAAATGTTCTTTTTACTAATTATTTACAAGTCTTATACCAATACATATTCCACAAGATGAATCCTGCAGCCTTTATGGATTTTCACAGCAACAATTTGGAGTGTTCTTATCCAACTCGGCAACTATTTCAGGTGTGTCTATTATTGTACACCCCAGTATGGGCTGTAGTCATAATTAAATTGTGGATTTTCTCTCAGAGGCAGATTAGTATCTCATTCTTATGTTTTTGTCAAAGTTGGCCTAGGTGAATGTGCAGTAACCCTCTTGATTTAAAGTATTTTGCTAATTGAGTTAACTGACACAGATATATAGTATCAATATGAAGTAAAATTTGGAGGGCCAAAAGCTCAAAATATATGAGACAACATTCACTGTTGTCCAACTCTCTCTATGTAATATGCAACAAACTTTCAGATATGTGGCTTCCACATATGTGGCACCAGTGAGACTGGTGGAATTCTAAATATATAAGAACATTTCAATGATTCATTACAGTGACTGGTGAATTAAGGAGAAAAGATGGTGGGCTGTGCTGAGAATGTGGGAAGAGATATATCTAACCTTTAAGATGCCTGGCAGTTGATTAAAACTAACACTCAAAGGCTAGTTTCCATGAGAAAATATAAATCTGAAAATTCAAACTTCAAAAGTGAGAAAACCACCAAAATACACCGAGTTTGAAACATACTGATATGGATTTGGGGCTGGCCGCTGGGAAGACAGCCAGCTAAAAAGAGTTGTGTGAAGAGAAGACAATCTTTCCTCATCCTTCCTTAACCGAAGGAAGACCAGTGGGTCAAAATCTCCATGGTGTGTCCTGAAATGCCACCTTTCTTTGGGGCACAGACTCACCCACAAGATGCTCCTTACCATTAAACACAAAGACACACCTGCAGATACCACATAGGAACCTAGAGGGTCACAAATATCAGATATGTGCCAAGAGGACCACACACACACACACACACACACACACACACACACACAAATTATTACACATGAGATGGCGCACCTTGATCCTCCTGAGAAGGGCAGGAATGAATGGCTATGTCGGGCAGAATCCGGTGCAAACCGGGAAGGGTCATATACCTGCAGAGGGAGAATCAGGGCCAGCACAGGGAGGAGTCAAGCCCTTGCTTCCAAACCATAAAGAGACAGGAAGCTCAGAGGTGGGAGCAAGAAGCACAAGAGGACAAGCAAGGGGATTTTCATTCTGACAGGTCACCCCCACCGCTCCTCTGATGCCCTCATACCTCTGGATTTGGCCACACCTTTGGATTGTGGTGAAGGGTATAAATGGAGAGTGAGACCGTCATACCTGTGGGTCAGGTAAGAGACAGGCAGAAAATTGATTATATCCATGAGGTAGGGCCATGGCCTGAGCAAGTAGGGGACATACATACACAAACAGCCTGGGTGGCACAAATCATCACTTTTAGCAAGATGATCTTATGGGTGGAAGGGTGGGCATGGCAGGGCACCTATAACAGGCAAGCAGCGGAAAATGGAGAACTAATAAACAAGGGCAAGAAAGAACCTGAAGGATCCTGGCTTGCGACAACTCACATCCATCAAATGCCTTCCATGAGCCATTGCAAAACATACATTAGCTTGCTCAGTACACAAAAGCATACACCAAGAAAGACACTGCTCTATACCTATTTTTCAGATACTGAAGTCTCAACGGGGCTGATGATCAGATGGTGTTTACACAGGTTGGATGTGACAGGCTGGGATCAGACTCATTACTGACTGAGCCATGGGTGATTTCTCTCCACAGGGGTCTCAGATCATCTCATCAGCTACTCTCTTCAATTAACCCAAGGGCTTTTCAGAGACTGGATCATATTTTATCCATGACATGGGGACCCATGATCTCCCATATTTTCTTTCATAAATGGAAACATCCACATTGCCTTAGTTCTTATCTGATTCTCTCTGCTCCACACAACTCAAGGAATGGGAATTTCAGGACTAATGTTCTGAGGCCAACATTTAATCTAGAGCTTCACATGGACTCACTGAGATTTTGATGAATTCACGCTCTGGGTCAAGAATCTCATAAACCCTTTTCTAACTTCAAATTAAGGATCCAATTTACTGATGAGGAAAGGGAGACTACACAAGGTTCAGAACTCCTGAAGGACATGTCGACATCCAATCTTCCCTTGTGCTTACCTAAGTGAGTCCGGGGAGGTCATACCTTTGGGTAAGGAGCGCCCATCAGGGAAAGTGACTGGTTCGCTGAGCTCTCTGCTCACATTGGGTACAGGTGGATACAGCCTCAAGGCTTCCTTGATACACATGGTGGTGTAGGGCATCTGGTCCAGGTGTTCCCTAAAGTGAAGCTCATCTTGAGGGCAGGAAGGGTCTAGAAAGACCAAGGTCCGCCCTATGAAAGAGGCTGTGCTCTCCCACCTCTTGAGCTCTTACTCACCAAGTGATGGAGGCTCCATTCCCCAGGAGGCTCTGGACCTCCTCCCTGCACTTCTGTTGGTGCTTGGGGTGTGCAGCTAGAGCATAGAGGATCCAGGAGATGCCACTGGCTGTGGTGTCATGGCCCTCAAACATGAACGTGTCCACCTCAGCACGCAGGTCCTTGTTAGATAAGCTGTTCCCATCCTCCATCTAGGGTCACATATAGGTAAGTGATCAGGGTTTGTCCCTCCCTCTGTGCTTCTGGGCAAAGCCTTAGATCTCTCCTGCTCACACTCACTTTGGCAAAAAGGAGGATGTCCAGGAAATCCAAGCGTCTCTTCTTCTTGATTTTCTCTAGCTCATTCTCATCCTGCAGTTGAGACTTCCTCTGCTGGATCACTTCGTCTGTTGCAGGACAGAGGTTACCAGATAGAATTGAGAGCTACAGCACCCCCACCCTTCCCCATCTGAAAGCCTTGTAGAGCTTGAGATGAGTGTGGATGTGTGGGTCAGGATTTGGGAGTCTACAGCAACATTTGAAGCAGCTCAGTTCTCACTGTGGAAGCACGACCCATAGAGCCCCTCTTGAATGTTTCTGAGGTGGAGGAGATTCAACATCACCAATGTTAGGCACAAGTAATCCTCTGCACACCACCTGACACAGTAATATCACAGCTCCCTTGCATAAGAGAAGTACCAACATGAGTGTGTCCCAGGTCCTCTAGGAGCACCAGGGGCCCTGGGTCTGCCTGAGGGTCTTGGCCAACTCCATTTGTCTGAGCCTGGTATAGGAGACAGAACCTGTGTGCTCATGGGCAAGCTTGCAAGCTTGTTTAAACAATCGGCCACTTGAAGACAAACTGTAGACGGTGTCATTCTGGTGAAAGACGTTCCTCACACGGGAAAAAGTCAGATTGTTTAGCTCTCCAATGGCTTGAATGTAGGAGTGAGAATTCCTGAGGAAGAGGATGCAGAACAGATTTAAGTCTGAAGAGGTCTGACCTGGATGGAGCTAGAGTGGTGATTCTCTTCGTGATAGAGATATACAACACAGAGGCATATGTTACTCTCAGACCCTAAGAACATGGCACAAATACCCAGGCTTCCAGCCAATCTAGGGATCAGGCATCTGTGACTGGGACAGTGTTGGGTCTGGTCAGGATTTAGAGCTGGCCTGGGGCTGGAGTCAGAATCTTGCTCTGTGTGGAGATAAGCACTCAAGCTGCCCCACCTGCCTCTCAGTAGTAAAAAGAAGTTGAGTCCACACCAGTAGTAAAAAGACTTTGTAAATAAGCATTGTCACAGACCTGTTGAACTGAGTACAACTCTGGTGGCTGAAGGCACACTTCATGATCGAGTCGAGTGTCATCAAGGAAACATGTTGAAAGATCTCCACAGGGGAGTCTTGACTGATGAGCCGCTCCCATTTGTCCTATGGAGGGAAGGCGGCATTGATCTTCCTTTCCCCAGAAATTCTGTACTAAATAGGCTAAGCTTTCCCCCTATATGTTCAGATATCTTGTTCTGAGTTCCTTACTTTAGAAAGCAGGTGTATCAAAGACTGCAAAAGCAAATTTTGTTAAACGACTCCTATATTCTCACAATTATCTAAAAATTAAACATAGCATCCCATAAGGGCTGAAAGAATTTGAATTTTGGCAACCAGCTATATATAAAGAGGAAATGACCTTCTCAGTGTTCTGAGAGCTGAGTTTGGCCTGAGGGATTAGTAGGACTCCAATTTTAGGAAGTGAATGCATCAAGACAAAATTTCCACTATGGGCATTTCTAATGGGGGCCATCAGGGACTTTGATTCCTGTTTCCACGTGAAAAGTTTGCTGAGAACAGTTGGGCCAGAAATCAAATGTTGAGACCTAATGGTATGGCAGGTTGGCTGTGAGAATGTAGACCTGGTGTCCATGTCATGGCTTATGTCATTCAAAATCCATGGACTCAGGGGACTGAATGACACACTATGAGGTCCTTGGGCCACTGAAGTTGCCAGTGTCCAGGACAGCCAGGCACAAGTAGTAGGTACTGTTGTCTGGTAGGACTGACTACTCCTGTTCACTGTAATGGAGACGTGGAAGTGGGAGGTGGGGCCTGTGTCCACCATGCTTCTCTCTGCCTTGGATGATGAGCACACTGTGGCTTAATCTTGATGCCAGGCTCATGTCTGTCCCATCTAATTAGTTTTTTAGAGGATCTTGCTATATAGGTCAGGATGACCCCAAACTCACTATGAAGCCAGGCTGGGCTTCAACTCATCATTCTTTTTTAGTCTCTCAAGTGCTATGATTACAGTCATATGCCATCATGTCTTGCTGTCATATCTGATTTGAGGAACTAACTCAGCCATGGCCTGGGGGTATTATTCATATGACTGTGACTGAGGGCTGTCTGTGTTAGACAGTAGAATGTGAATATGTGCTGTGAGTGGAGGTGTGGGGATAATAGACTCACCAGCATCACTTGGACAGAGTTGGCCATGACAGCCACATAGGGCTTCAGGATGTCATAGTGGAAGGCTGGGGTCAACATCCGCCGGTGCTGGAACCATGTCTTCCCATTCAGCAGGAGCAACCCATAGCCTGTGCAGGAGATGGGTGTGTGCATGGGGATGTGAGCAATGAGATCAGAGAGAAGAATGGGGGCAATTTGGGTGGCATAAATGGTGATGCTCTGGGGAAAGAAAATCAGGAAGGCAGAATTTCCTGGATGAAAACCGTACAGACTGATAGTTTTTAAGAATGTCAATCTTTCACTTGTTCTAGTAATCTGACATGATTATGACAGCTGGGAGGTAAAGGTTGTAATGTGTTAAAGACAGGGCAAGGACACACCTAAGTAAATGTTAGTCTGAGAATGTGCAGGAGTAGGAAGAAATATGGAAGGAGCTGAGTCTCAGGAGGACTCACACCAGGATGAGGACATTATGAGGATTCAGTTAGGAGAGAAAGAAGTCTTGATTTACAGGTTGGTCATTACAGTGGTGGCCCACTGGAGTTTGTTCTCTTTGGGTCAGACAGATACATTTCAGGAACCCTGACTGGGGAGTGATCATGTTCAGATGTACGTACCGATCCAGGGAGACAGTAATCTGTAGACACCATGAGATTTGGGGTCTGAAAAAAAAAACCAAGAGCTTCATAGGAAATTGACGTTGACCAAAGAATATAGACTCAAGAGAGATAAAGTTGAGGGAATGGGCTTCCATGAGTTCTTGATGACTGTCGGTTGCTAATTTGTCCCATGTCTCCTCATCTTCTATCTCTGTCCTAACAGTCAGTTGGACTCAGAAATGACACTTCTGAGTACCAGCACCTGAACACCCCAATAGCGTAGATGGAAAGCTGACGAAAAACACAAGCCATGTATTCAGTGCCCAAGACTAAGACAGTCTTGTGGTTTTTCTACAATGGATGATGGGGGCTGGGGATTTAGCTCAGCGGCAAAAGCGCCTGCCTGGCAAGCGCAAGATCGTGAGTTCGGTTCCCGGTACCGGAGAAAAACCAAAAAAAAAAAAAAAAAAAAAAAAAAAAAAAATACAATGGATGATGGTTTTGTTACTGAAGAAAGGAGAAAATTAGAGCTTTTATACCAACATCCCATTGAGTATGAAGTTACTTTTTAATATATGGACAACATGCTAACAGATCACCTCATTTAAAGAAGGAAGAAAATAAGTTCAGACACACAGAGCTGTTTTAAGCATTCAGTGTTGAGAAAATATTATTGGCCTTAGGCTGGGCTGTGGGCTGGGAGGAAAGGGAAGTAGGCAGAAAATGCAGATGTTGACATTTGAACTGCCACTGTCTCCTGGAATTTTACAGAGTCTAGGGCATGGACCAAAGAGTGAAGAGTGCAAGTATCAGGATGGGACTTCACTCTCACCTGATCTCCCCAGGATCACCTTCATGTAGTCAGGGTCATAGAGCAGGACAGTAACCTTACTCCCCCAGAGCCAGCGAGGACAGGCACTTGGGAATTCTTTTACCCATTTTAACAGTCGTTCCAGCTCTCGGTCCTTTTGGAACTGTCATGGAGGGAAAGAAATTTAATAATGCCATTTTAAAAAATTCATTTCTTGGAGCAGGGATGAATGCTTAAATGACCATGGGGCTGTAGTACTGGACCTACCCACAGGGATCAGAGACTCGGACTGTTTTTTGAGACCATGGGTCCTGATCCAGACTATTACTTGGGCTTGACCTAAGCTCAGGTTCTGCCTCCTATTGTGCCACCAATGGGTGTCCCTTACAACTGTCCTTAGAACCTTACACATAGCAAGTGCTCGATCTGTGTTCAGGAATGAACTCCATAGTGCACGAAAATTTTTCAAAGACTTACATTAGAGTTATAGATCATTTATGTTCTTCATTAATTTGCAAGTCAAAATGCTAACACAATATATCATGTGAAGTTATTTGGACATACCATCTTTGTATGGATAACCAGTATAAAAGGAGAGCATTAGGGTGGGCTCTAATCCAGTGTAATGGTGTCTTTATAAAGAGGAATTTTGGACACAGTGATGGATGGGGAGAAGCCAGTGTGAAGGGATAGGAGACAAGGGTCATTTATAAGCCAAAGAGACAGGTATGCAGCAGGTGCTCCTCCAGAGCCCACAGAAGGAACCAGCCTTGTCAGTACATTTCTGTTGCTTTACCCTCAGTCTGTGACTTTATTACAGTAGACCCAGCAAAGTGATATAATTATGTAATGCTCAAGGCCATTCTGTGGTCAAGGATGGATTATTAGTTTACCTGTTTCACTGAAGAATGAGGAAACCAATGTTCATTTGCCATGTGATTACATTAAACTCAACCCTGCTTACCCCACAGTGTCCTTTCCATGTGCTCCTGGGTGTCTATTATCATATTTTTACTCAGTGTTCTAATCCTTAACCTGTTTTGGCAAATTCACCTTTGATATCTGTCACCTCTGTATTCTTAGAGCCCCACATACAGCATGGCTTGTATGAATCGTGCCTTATTTAAAAAAAAAAATGAAGGAACCAATGATAGCATGTGGGAAAGTGGATGAGTGAGTCTTCATTAAAATTTCTATTGCAAGGAACAGATAAAATCTTGGACCAAGGTAAAAAATAAAATTAAAAAAAAATAATGAAAGAAGGCTTGGGGCATGGCAGCATCCCTTAAAGCCCAAGGACAGGGAGTTAGCAAGTGCAGAGGGGACAGAACCAGGGAGTACAAGGTCTCCTCTCTTTTGCACATCCATGCTTGTTCATTCATCTAGCAAATAGTTACTGAGGCCTTACGTGTCAAAAGCGGCGGGACAGGGGGCTGGGGATTTAGCTCAGCGGCAAAAGCGCCTGCCTGGCAAGCGCAAGGTCGTGAGTTCGGTTCCCGGTACCGGAGAAAAACCAAAAATAAAAAATAAAAAATAAATAAAAAAAAAAGCGGCGGGACAACCATGAGTCAATAGAAACACTCCCTGACCTCCTGCAGCTCAGGTTCACATGGTGACCTGGAATTCTTTTGCCTTTGTCCACCGATAGCTCACTGTGTCTGCATGGCATGCTGAATTCTGTTCTGAGAATCTGATTGCACCAGTCGTGATGTCTGTCTAGTCTGGTCCCCTGTGGCTGGGATTGCAAAGGGCTTTAGAGTTAACCTGTTTAGGAAGTAGAAGCCTGAAAGAAGAGAAAGCTAGGAAGAGGTGTGAAAGTATTTCTGTAACAATCACTGAGTAAATATATGAATGAGTAGAAGGGTGGAGAGATTCGCTCTTACTTATTACGCACTTTGTGTCAATTGTTTTCTGAGTAATCAGTGAACAAATACAATTCGTCCTATCATGGAGCTTATATTCTAATGCAATGTGTGAAGGGCAGTGAGTGATGACTTGAACTGAGAATTGTCTTGCTTACATTCCTTGAAAAGGCTGCTGCATAGTCCCTGGATATGTTCTTTGTAGACACTTCATTGTCTTTTGATCCACTGCAGGGACTGACCCATGGGAATCTTTGACCCCTAGCTATGAGGTTTTGTCACCCATATCCTCTCATGTTGGCCCTGAAGGGACTTGGGAGACCTTGTTCAACACTCCCTTCTAAGTGCTTGGTGCCCTTTCTAAGTCTGCTACCTACAAATCCTGCTCCTGGACACTGCCACTGGTTCAGCCTAATTACATGTGGCACTCTTGTCCCTTGGTCAGCCATTAACAGAGGTAGTGAATAAATAAAAGTCTCAGTATTATATTTGGCTGAAATTGCTAGTTGAGAGGTAATTCAGCACCGTGAGTAATATTATTTATGTAAAGAGAAGTTGACACTATAAATAATTTAGGCCACTCAAGAGCATCGTTCAGCTTGTGACAGTTACATGAAACAAAAGTCACAATGCCTTAAAATTGTCTGTGGCCATACCACCCTGAACGCACATGATCTCGTCCGATCTTGGAAACTAAGCAGGGTCGGGCCTAGTTAGTACTTGGATGGAAGACAGTGCCTTAAAAATCAGCAAATAATCTGGAAGTCATTAATACTAAAATTGATATGATCAAACATTGGCTATCAGAGTTTAGATATTTCTGTCTAGCTAGTTGTAATAGTTTCCATACTTGGTTTCCCTTTGCTGCTACTCACTTCACTTATTGTAGAAAAGGGTGGTACATTTTCCCCCTCTCCCCTCCGGGCTGGCCAGTACAGGGGATCAGCATAATCCATACTCAGAGCTCAGTTTCCTTCTTACCCTACTTCCTTGTTGAGCCCGCACAACTATACCAGGCTCTTCCTCCTCTGGTATAGAAAGGGCAGAGTGTGCTGACCTGCAAAGTGTGCACAGTTGTACGTAAATAAGAAAATTAAGTAAACACTTCCTGTTTAATCAGGCAGCTCAAATATCTGTCCCCTGCACCCTCAGGACATCATGCAGCTCTGTACCTTATGTGCGTCTACCACTGTGAGTATTACACCTCCCTAAAATCACCCATTCCGGAAAATTCCTTACTCTCAGGCAAATGCAGTGAGTGGCCTTTCCAACTGAAATCATCTACCCATCCCAGCAGACACCCTCTGAGATTTGCCTGTGATCTGATACCTTCTGAGATTTGTCTATTGTTGCCCACCTGGGCAAGGATTCTAACAAACTGATGTCTGTTCCTAGGTCAGCTCAGGGACAGGTACAAAGAATGAATTGAATGATACATGCAAGAAAGCATCTAGAAGTCTTGTTTTTTGAGAACAGCTGAGGCTGCTGGAGACGCTCACCCTGGGTAAGAGGACACCCAAGAAGAACCAAACACAGTCCTCTAAGTACAAGGCTGACGGGGTATGCAACATATCTGCGTAAGAAAGGAGTACACAACAGAGCTGAGTAATAGCAGAACAGGTTTCTTGTGAAGGGACTCTTCTTCATTTTGATGATCCCAGCCTGAGAGTTATACTGGGTGTTCCTGGAAGACTATGATCATCATATAGAGGCTTTGTCCTGTAGGGCTGAGGGTGTAGCTCAGTGGGTAGAGTACTTGCATTGCATGTGAAGCACTGAATTTGCTTACCAGTATCTTAGAATCTCATCCTTCCCTCTTTCCCACCACCTTGTCCGTCTCCTTCCTACCTGCTGTTTGTGCCCGAAGAACCAGTGTGAGGGTGGACACGGGAACTGCTGGAGAGCTCTGAGCAGCCATTGTCTGTGTAGGTAGAACTGGGCTGCCTTGAACAGCAGCAGAAGCAGGCCGAGTAGGGAGGCCACTTGGAGGAGCCCAGAGACGCTGCCTGGGAATCTGATGAGGCTGAGCGCGGAGATGCTCATGGTGCAGTGGCTTCTGGAGCACTGATTCTCCCTCCACCTGGTCTGTTTTGTGGAGGATTGCCCGCCCACTCGCAGGAGGGAGCAGCGTGAGGGCAAGGCTTTATTAGCAGTTTATTTACTTAGACAATCTGCCTTGGGAGACAGAAAATGCTTTGTCAGCTGACTGTGGTAATCATCAAGCCCACACTCCATATCATGCACAAATATTTATTTATTCATTTCTCTGTTTATTTATTTTCCTTTTCCTTTTAAAATTGAATGCCATATTATTATTTTTATTTGTACATATATGAGAGGCACAGTGTGATATTTTGATACAGCATGTTATGATCAAATCAGGGTAATTCTCACTTTCCCATCTTTAAACATTTATCATTTCTTTCTTTTTTACTATTGCAAAAGTTGTGTGTTTTAAATATCAAACATGATTATCACAAAAAATAGCTATAGTGCCAAGGCAGTGTCTCAAGGGAGGGTCCCAGGCTCTGGGCCTCTTCCCACATGCTTATTAAGGCTACCACTTTATTCACCGCAGTGCAGAGTTCCTTAAGTTCCCTCAATAAATCTGAAACCTGCACATTTTCCTCTGAATTGTCAATGCCGTGTTCTCCCAGTAATGGTACATGATTGTCAGTTGAGACGCCTAAGCGCTGACGCCGGTCTCCCTCCAGGAGAGACAGACGGATCCGTCTCATAGGCAGCTGGTGCCGTTTGGTGCCCAGGCTGGCGGGGAAGTCCTGTATTGCTCCTTAAAGCATTCAGTCATTCCTGATGGGGGCTCCGCATTGCCCTGTGGGCGTTGAACGTGTGCGCTAGCTCCTGATTCCTTAGACAGAAGTTTTCACTTCAGCTCATAAGATTTTCCCTGTAGCTTCTCCTTTCCTTTGCACATCATTAATAAATTCTTTTCTGTCTTTTCTTTGGAATGAGTGAGGCTGTTCTCCTTCTTTGTGGTTAGCGGGGTCAGCCAGTAATGTTTGGGATTCAGTCATTTCCATCCCTTCAGATAAATCTGGGCTCTTTTTGCAAGGCAGTAAGTGACGTGGACTTGGGTTTCCTTGACATTATCTTTTCTGACTGTGAAGGCTTCCTGACTGCGCTTCAGAGAGATTCAGCTCATGTGGGCCCATGCCCCACCCTTCTGGCGACATGGACTGCACATTTCCCTTTCTGACCCCACTGCTACCTTTGTTTTGCTGGAGCAGGATGGGTTTCCTTCAACTTTTAGGCATCGTCTCACTGTTTTTTAACCTTTCTGCTTCAGGAGATATTTTGATTGTTTTCTTCTCATACTTAAAGTATGGGGACTTGATCACTCTTCCACCTTTTGTCTTGGTGTCACTAGGTGTGTTGGAACCAGTGGAGGAAAAGTTCCCAGTGCTGTGACCAGAGGAATCTTCCATGAATTATTTTGAATTATTTTCCATTCAGTTCATCAATTCACTTTTATTTGGGACTCTTGTTAGATAGATTTTGTTCCTTTGGAGGGGCCATGTTATTAATTTGCTCTTTCATACCTGTGTCTCTATGTTGATATTTGTGCATCTGGTGAATCAGTTGTTTCTCCCACTTTTGCAAGGTAACTTTTAAATTTTTTTCAATTTTTTATTAGTACGTGTTTGTGGTATACAATAGTACATACATCTTAGTTCCCATTTTCATCCCCTTTCCCTCCCTTCCCTCCCTTCTCCCTCCATAGCTTTTAAAACTTTCCTGTGGAGGTACGTCCTAGTGTGTCAGTTGGGTAGACCACACTGGCTTTGGTTCTAGGTGAGTGTAGTAGTGTAGTCTCCATGTACACATTTCTTCAGCTGTTATCAACATTGCTGTTGACTTCAGATGTCTTAGTGGCCTAGCTCTTGGGATTTATCTGATACCTGGATATAGTTTTCTTAGGAGGACAGGTGGCTGCTTTGGGCATAATACGTGTTTCTGCATATGGGTGCACTGGTTGGTTTCCACAGGCTGCATCATGTAGAACTGATCTTTGGGCTCAGGAAGGTAAGGTGTGGCAGGGATGGCCATGGAGGGGGTGTACTGGTCAATTTATGAGCCCTTGAGGAAGCCAGTTTGCCCTATTGGGCTCAAAGAGGTACCATTTTGGTGCCTAATAGTAAAGGTGAGGCATCTGTCAGTGTCTAAAGGCCGCATAAAGGACAGGGTGGTTCTCTGTCAGGTCTAAACCTGTGGGGTATTGCACCGTCAGCAGCATAGGTGCGCACTCCTCTGTGCTTAAGTGACATGCAGGCACTGAGATACACTGATGGCTTCAGCTGGGGTGCCAGTTAATGCTCAAAGGCTGCTAGGTACCTTCATGGGGACTCAGCCCATTACCTTGCTCAGAGTGGGCTTCCCAGTTACTTCCCAGAGGAGCTGGTAGATGGGCAGGGCCGTTCAGCTGCTTCTTGTGGCCTTGCTGATCTGAACCACCCAGTTGTCTGACCACTTTGTGCTGCCTTGGGAAGTTGGATGTAGCTGACTGGCTGCATTATGGTACTACAGGTGGACAGGCCTCAAGATGGTGCTCTGTAGCACAAGTTTGGGTAGTTCAGGGCACATGGGTTAGGCTCTTTCTCTCGGGTAGATGCCTGATAGCTCCGGAAACTGGACTCAGGACTTGTGAGGGCTGCAGGTTTCTCCAGTGGCAAATTCTCTAGGTGTCTGTGGCGATGTCTGAGGGTTTCCTGCTTACTCAATCCCTATTTTGTGGAGTGTGGGTTTCATCTTGTTTGAAGAGATGTGATGGTAGATGCTGTATTCTCGATTTCCTTCTTTACAAAGCTATCCTGGACTCTGTTGTGCTACCTCAAATAATCCAGTGGAATAGTACTTATATTTTCTTTGTTTTGTCCCTTGTTTGGGGAGGGAAGCTTTCCAGGTACTGCTAGTTAGCCATCTTGCTCATTCAATGAGCAAATACTATATTCCAGGCAGGACGGTAGGTAGTGGGCACAACAGCAAAGAAAGCAGACATGAACCTTAAGAGAATTCTTTCTACTTTACCAAATATTCAGTGGATGGGACTTCTAGTATTCCCTTAGTTCACTGAGAAGAAATTGGTGACACAGAGGCACAATGACATTTTTATAGAGGAAAACAACTTTGAAAGTCCATGGCCGGATTAGAATTCTGTGCTGAACTACAAAATTGTTCCCCCCAAGAGCTTCTGAAATGCTCCCAATGGCCTTCACCTTTGCCTCTCCTAATAACAAATAATTCGTTACATAAGCCAGGGATCTGAAGCTCTTTTCCTGGTGTAATATTTTCCAAGCTCTTTCAAAATCCAGGGTAAAGGGGAATGCATCTCTTTGCACCTCATTCTACTGAACTTTCCCCTAGTTCTGTGGTTACCTTCTAGCCCTACATTCTGCTCCTCCCCACCTACTTGAGGCTCTTAGACCTTTGCTCTTACCCTACCTAACTCAGCTCCTGCTTCCAGCCACAGCATAAGGGACAGTGGTGGCAAAACCTTTGGAGTCAGGACCTGGCTTTGAATTATGGTTGCGACTATTTCTTTCCCTCTCTGAACTGTGAGTTCTTGTAGTTGGCCTCATGAAGTGTGTAGTGGATTGATAACTGGTGGTCAACTTATAACCCCCAGCTGAACTGAGTGAGTGGTGCTGGGTGTGGGAGGCCCACCTGAGGACTGTTGCCAGCAGCATAAGAGGCAGACCTGGAGAAGAAGAGGCAGGCTATTGGGAGCTGAGAGAGGCTGTTGGGAGCTGAGAGAGACCGTGGGGACCTGGCTTTCTGATGAACTTGGCTGTTTTCATCCTCTGAGGAGCTCGGTACCTCACTGGCACTGAGAATGGCTTCAGTTCACTTTGGGGAGCTCTGGTCCTCACTTTGAGCATAGCTGCCTGGTTCCGGAGGGGAAGATGGTGCACTGCCGGCCTCCTGGAAAAGCTTGCTGCGTTGGCTTCCCTGATGGGAACTCAGCCATCCTGATCTTCGGAGGAGCTCGGGACCTCACTGTTGTCGAGGATGGCTGTGGCACCTTTTGGGGGAGCCCTGGTTCTTCTGAGCATCACTTCCTGGCTCCAGTGCAGATCCCTCAGCCTGCTAGCACAAATCCTTCTTCCTGCTGGCACAGACTTTTAGATTCCACCACTGACCTTTGGGCTTTTCCAGCAGATCCATGAAACAGGTCCCCATGAGACATTGTCATGGGTTCTGGGCCTCCAGTTGGATTCATGGAGGCATTGTTATGAGCTCTGGGTATTCAACTCAACTCGTGTAGGACATTGTTGTGGGATCCAGGCCCTCAGCTGGATTCCTTGGTCTTAGTGTGTGGACAGATTTCCTGCACTCTTTTGTATACTGTTCTTTGGGTGACTTATAAATAATCACATGAAGTATGTGTCCTGTATTATGTTGTTCCCCTTGCAAAATAAGCACCAAACCAACACAAAGTGATAATGTTTAGTGAGCAGTTAGGGTATTCAGGGCACGGAACCAAATGCTTTACATGCTTCCTGTCAAAACAACCAAACAGCCAAACATAATATTTTTTTAAAAAACTCTCATATTATAAACATGAAATAAAAGTTGGAAAGAGATTAGTTGCCTGAATGGGATCACCCAGCCAATAAATAGTGTAGTCAAGATAAATAACCCAGGCTGGCAAGCTCCACAGATTTTGCTGTTGACCATTAATGTAAAGGACAGATGATTATGTTGAGCCTCCAGTCAGTACGATAATCCCCAACATTTCTAGGGGTTCTTCATGGTCTCTATAATTTGTCAGTCATTTCCAAGTAGCATGATGATATGATGGATTACCCAGAGCATGTATGTGTGTAACTGGAAGCCAATCAAAACTGTGCAAAAGTATATAGAAAAACTATGTGACTAAATATACATAATCACTGAAAATGGTGTCAGTAGAGAATTTTTCAGGGTATGAGTAAAACTTAAAAGAAAGTGATAAAAATGGTAGTGAACAATATGTAGCATATAGGATGAGCTTAACTTTTAGAAAAATTTGGCATCATTAAGATTGACAAGTAGGGGCTGGGGATTTAGCTCAGCGGCAAAAGCGCCTGCCTGGCAAGCGCAAGG